TCCAATGCCACAAACTCAGATTCCATGGTAGATCTAGCTATTATAGTTTGTTTAGCTGATTTCCATTACACAGCACCCCCACCGAGGGTGAACACATAACCTCTAGTGGATTTTGTCTCATCTGAATCAGAGATCCAGTTAGCATCACTGTATCCTTCTAGTACAGTGGGAAATCCACTATATTTAATACCATAGTTCATGGTACCTCTCAAATATTTCATTACTCTTACTAATGCATTCCAATGATCATGACTTGGGTTTTGAGTATATCTACTCAATCTACACACAGCATATGCAATATCAGGTCTAGTAAAATTCATCAAATGCATTAGACTACCAATAACTTGAGCATATTTATTTTGATCTACAGCATCTCCCTTATTCTTTTTTAATTGACTACTAGCATCATAAGGAGTGCTTACAGGTACCACATCAAAATTATCAAATTTTTTAAGAATTCTTTCAACATAATGTTCTTGGGTCAACATCAAACTATTGCCATCTCTTATAATTTTCATGCCTAAAATAACACTAGCTTCTCCCATGTCTTTCATCTCAAAATTAGAAGACAAGAAAAATTTGGTTTTATGTACCAAATCAAGGCTAGAACTAAAAATAAGCATGTCATCCACATAAAGGCAAATAATAACACATGTACCATCTACACATTTTGTATAAACACATTTATCTACTTCAATTGATGAAAAACCATCATTAATCAATACTTGATCAAATTTTTCATGCCACTGTTTAGGCGCTTGTTTTAGACCATATAAAGATTTTAACAATTTACATACTTTATTTTCTTGGCCAGACACTATACAACCCTCAGGTTGCTCCATGTAAATTTCCTCTTCCAAATCACCATTTAAAAATGCAGTTTTAACATCCATTTGGTGAATAAAAAGTTTATAAATAGAAGCCAAGGCAAGTAAAACACGAATCGAGGAAATTCTAGTTACAGGAGCATAAGTGTCAAAATAATCAATATTTTGCTTTTGGGTAAAACCTTTTGCAACAAGTCTAGCTTTGTATTTATCAATGGTACCATCCGGATTGAGTTTCTTCTTAAAAATCCATTTACAACCAATGGGTTTAGCTCCCGGAGGTAAATCAACTAAAGTCCAAGTTTTATTTTGTAAAATTGAGTTTAATTCTACATCAATAGCTTCTTTCCAAAATGAGGCATCAGACGAAGAAATAGCTTCAGAATATGTTAAAGGATCATTATCCACAAGATATGTATAAAAATCATTACCAAAAGATTTTTCTTTCCTTGGTCTTTTGCTTCTTCTTAAATCCTCACTTTCAAGATCATTTTGAACAATTGGAACATGTGAAATATTATCACTTGGAATAATCGGAGCATCAGAAATTTTCTCAAATTTTAAAGGAAAAATACTTTCAAAAAATTCAGCATTTTTTGTTTCAACAATAGTATTGTTTTCAAGTACATCACTTTTGACTACTAAAAATCTGTATGCTGCACTGTTTTCAGCATACCCAATAAACATACAATCAGATGTTTTAGATCCTATTTTTCTTTTCTTAGGATCAGGCAACATAACTTTAGCAAGGCATCCCCACACTTTCAAATATTTCAAATTAGGTGGATACCCTTTCCACAACTCATAAGGAGTTTTACCCGTTTTCTTATAAGGAATTCTATTTTGTAAATGACAAGCAGATAAAATGGCTTTACCCCAAAGATTATCCGGAGCACCAGAGCTAACAAGCATACTATTCATCATTTCCTTTAAGGTCCTATTTTTTCTTTCCGCTATACCATTTGATTGTGGAGAATATGGCGGAGTTATCTCGTGAATTATGCCTTCTTTCTCACAATAATCATTCAACAAAATAAATTCACCACCTCTATCGGATCTAACTCTTTTGATTTTCTTATTCAATTGATTTTCTACTTTAGCTTTATAAATTAAAAACTTATCAAAAGCTTCATCTTTATTTCTCAACAAATAAACTTTTGTATATCTAGAAAAATCGTCTATAAAAGTCACATAATATTTTTTCCCTCCTCTAGTCATAGTTTGTTTCCAGTCTCCTAAATCAGTATGTATTAAACTTAACAATTCAGATTCTCTAAATACTGAAGCACATGATTTCTTAGTTTGTTTAGCTTCTGCACAAACTTCACACTTATCAATATTCGAAAAATTAATATTTGAAATAAGACCTTCAGAATGCATTTTTTTAATATAAGATAAACTAACATGTCCTAATCTTGCATGCCATAAATTAAAAGAATCAATCAAGTAAGCAGAAGTACTAGCATTTTCATTGATAACATTGAGTACAAACAAGCCGTAGTTATAATAACCCTTGCCAACAAAATTATTATTCTTGGTCAACACGACCTTATCAGATTCAAAAGAAACCTTCACCCCCACTTTTCCTAATAATCCCACAGAGACCAAATTGGCTCGGATACTAGGAACATGCAACACGTCATTCAATGCCAAAGTTTTGCCAGATGTGAGTTTGAGAAGAATTTTGCCTTTTCCAAGAAGTTGAGTAGTTCTTGAATCACCAAGATAGACAACTTCTTCTCCCTCCTCAACTTGGGTGTATGACACAAAGTCTTTTTTGTTAGCACATATGTGCCTAGTGGCACCAGAATCTAACACCCAATCTTTCACATTGGCCACAAGGTTCACTTGGGAAACAACCGCAACAATTATATCATCCACTTTGGCTTCAGTCAAATTTACTTTAGCCTTAGTGGGATTGTCATTCCCAACTCTTTTTCGGCATTGAGCAACATAGTGGCCAAGTTGATTGTTGGTTTTGGGATTATAACCATTTCTTTTATCATACCTGTTACTTGATTTTCTCTGACGGTTGTTGTCCTCCACAAGACTGCTTCTAGTAGCAATTTCTTTTCCTTTGTCAACAACAACGTGCTTGCGGTTAAAATTATCTCCACAAAAAATCATAACTTTTGAAACATCGGGAAAAGATTTGGCATAGGTAATTAGTGAGGGAACAATAACAGAAACAGTAGGCGCAGCAGGTGCAGTAGCAACAACAACAACATTAGCAGCATTATTCTCCATAATAACAGCGTGTAATTATCCTTAAGATTGTTGGAAAAAATTAGATGATCATGGAGAATAAAAGGTTTAGCTTGAGGCGTGTCAAAGACACTGTCCTTAAGGATATTTCGCCCACACCGAGATAAATAATATTAGGCGTATCCCCCAGGATTCAACAAACTCTTCTAGTATCACTAGGAGCAGAAACAACAAAGTTTAACGAAAAGAAACCCAACACAAAGAATTAGAAAAGTTTTTACTATTTCACACTACTACCATTAACACAAGTTGATAGCTCTCTCTCTCAATATATATATATAGTCCAAAAAACAATCTGAAAATGAAGATAAAAGCTTTTCAATTACAATACATTAAAAACCAAAAGTAACGTATAAGAAAGAAATAAGATGGCTAGTATCACAAACACTAATAAAAACCATTAAGGCTATAGATTTATATTGTTAAGAAACGGTAAAATCAATAAAGGATACAAAACCGTTAAGACTTAAGTCCATAACGTTAAACTTATTAGCATTAAAATATAGTTATGGCCTCCAGTCATCAGTTTTAAAATATTAAATTTGTAATTTGAAAATTATGCCATCAGTTGCATTTTGTAATAAGACCAATTAATATTATTTTAAGAGAATGAACCTAGATATAATTTTAAATAATTCTTTTTGAGATATTAAAACTATTTTTGTCTCAACAAACCTATTGATCAACTCTAGGCTGAGCTTCTAGTGAAAAACTAAAGTCCTGCCTTATAGAATGAGGTTCCGCTGTTTTACAATAACTTGACTTTTTTCTTTAATTTTCAAACCCCAATTATGGAATATATTGGATTTGTTGTTGTTGTAATTTACAGAGGAGCAAAATGCTAATGTGGCGAATAACGCATTATAACCCGACACCAAAAATTTGATCTTCTGGTCTTTGCATTATTTGAACAATTCAAACATAGATTAATTACTTTAATATAACAAAACCTAGTGATTTAATCGTTATAAAGTTCATACACCTTAATGTAACAAAATATGATTTTATGAAAATATTATTACTATTACAGCGAGTGGAATCCAGTAATCAAAACCCATCCTTGAAGCTAAAAATAGTAGAAATAGGTTCTTAAGGTTGGATAAGAAACTAAAATAATAAGATAGATCTAAAAATAGACAGTTTCCTTTTGTTTTTCTTCTAAAAATTGACAGTTCAAAGAGTAAAAAAAGACAGTTCAAAGTGTAAAAAGGTGAGCAGCCTAAATCATACGACAGCAGTCCTACATCTCCGAATGGGACATCATCGTATATAAAACACATTCTCACATCCCTATCACTAATCACCCCCACCCCCCTACAACTCCCCCTACCCCCACCCCACCCCCACTCCCCCACCCACCCCTAAAAAAAAAAACCCATTTTTTTCTTTTGAAAAATGCTCAGATTTTTGTCTTCTTATCCGAGATTGTTCAACAAAAAAAAAAATTCGTTATATGTATATGCATGTTAATCTATATTAAAAAGATTGACGTAAATAATAAATGGAGAACTTACGGTATCTTCTTGTAGCGAAAGCCAAAAAACTGGTTAAATCGTGACTAAAATTACTGATCGGTGATAATTCGCACGGCATATCGGATGTAACTCATATACCTTAGTCTAAACTCTAATCTTTATACGATAGAAAGAGAGCGTTTTAAGACGAGAGTTCTTTCTCTCCTATATATTAATCGTAAGCTATCAATAATTATTAGTATTACTTACTATACTTTAGGTTGTTACTTGAGCCAAGCGTTTATCGAAAACAATCTCTTTACTTACGTATGACAGGATATGAATAAGATCTGCGTACGCATTATCCCATATATTTAGATTATACGGGACAAATTTGACCCTTTTTCGCTTTACTCTATTCTAACTTCCCTATATAATCCCCCACCTTCCACATTCCCCCTTTAACAACCAATCTCAGCTCAACTCTATATCCATCACCAATTCCTCCATTTTTTTCACGCACTACACACACTAATACTCAAAGAAAACACCTTTCATTTTCATCTTATTTTCTTTTATTCTTTCACAAAGCAAAGAAGAAAAAAATAGAGATTAATTATGGGTTTTCCACTAGGCTACACTGAACTTTATCTTCCCAAATTACTCCTCCACGTTATTATAATTTTGGGTTTCATTAAAGAACTCATTTGCACACTATTTAAGCTTTTGGGCCTCGAGGGTTTTGTCGAGCCCGAATTTTCATACCCGACCCGACCCGAATCATGTTCGGTGCCCCGGTTTCACTCATTGTCGGCGGCGTTGATAAGGGAGATATTACCGGTGGTGAAGTACTCGGAGATAATGGACCCGCCGGGGAAGTGCGCGGTGTGTCTGTACGAGTTCGAGTTGGACGATGAAATCAGACGGCTGAGGAATTGTAAGCATGTGTTTCATCGGAGCTGTGTGGACCGTTGGATGGATCATGATCAGATGACGTGTCCGCTTTGCAGAGCAGTTTTTGTACCGGAGGATATGATGGAAGTTTTTAATGAGAAGTTGTGGTTGGCTTCTGGAGTTTCTGATTTTTATGACGAGTATTCATCTGTTGCTGCTGGTTTGTAGTAGTCATAATAATTTGTTAAAATCTATTTGTTGTTTGTATTCGGGATTTGATTTATGTTGCCTCGACTCTTCAAAATATTATTGCATTCGCATCAGATCCTTTAAAAATGCACAATTTTTGAAGGATTCAACACACCCGGCGATTTTTGAAAAGTCGAGCAATGTAGGATTTGATAGTGTAAAATATACCAAAATGTATATACTACAAGAGAGAAAAAAAAAAGTAAAAAGAAAAAAGATTTTGTATAGTCTGCAATTCTATGGGAATGTAGAATGAGAATTGATAGTTTTATTTTCAAGGATTTTCTGATAACGTTTTATTTAATTATCAAAAAATACTTAGGCAACTAGTTTGAATTTGTATCTCAGTTAATAAAGTATTGCTCATAATTATTAGTTTTTTTTTTTTGTAGTAAATAGACCTTTTTTGTTTATTTTGTAATTGGTAGACCTTTTAGATCACCAGATTTCCGAAGAGGGAGGAGCATTTGATTACTTTCCGGAGTATGGTGGCTAAGACTCAAATTGATTATCTCCTCCTCAGGAGATGTGATAAGGGGTTGTGCGAGGATTGTAAGGTGATCCCGAGTGAGAACCTCGCGACACAACATAGGCTCCTCGTGATGGACGTCGGTATTTTGATAAAGAAGAAGAAGAGGCATGTACGGGGTCAACCGTGGATCAAGTAGAGAGTTTTGACTGAAGACAATGCGCAGGAGTTGGAGAGGTAGTTAACGGCTATGGGGGCTTGGAAGAGTGGTGAGGATGCTAGAGTTATGTGGACGGAGATGGCGGACTGTATAAGGGAGGCAGCGAGGGAGGTGCTAGGGGATCTCGAAGGGCTACTCTGGCGGACACCGAGGCGACTGGTAGTGGAATGACGTGGTCCAGGGTAAATTCGAAGCAAAGAAAACGGAATACTTTAAGTTAGTGGATCACACCGACGAGGAGCAGAGGAGAGCGAACAGAGAAAGATATAAGGAGGCTAGGAGGGAGGCGAAATTAGCGGTCATGGAGGCTAAGACTGCTGCGTTTGGTCGGATGTATAAAGAACTGAGGGCCAAAAGCGGGGACAAGAAGTTATTTCGGCTGGCCAGAGCGAGAGAGAGAGAGAGAGAGAGAGAGAGAGAGAGAGAGAGAGAGAGGAAGGCTCCTGACCTGGATCAAGTTAGGTGCATCAAAGAAGAAGAAGGTCGTGTATTGATGGAAGAGGCTCAGATTAAGCAAAGATGGCAGTTGTACTTTCATAAACTGCTGAACGAAGAGGGGGACGAAAACATCGTATTAGGGGGATTGGGGCACTCCGAGAGTCACTGAGACTTTAGGTATTGTAGGCGTATTAAGGTTGAGGAGGTCGTGGGAGCGATTTGTAAGATGAGTCGCGGCAAAGCGACCGGACCAAACGAGATCCCAGTAGAATTTTGGAGGTATGTGGGTAGAGCGGGCTTGGAGTGGCTGACTGGGTTGTTCAGTTGTTGGCCCATGATCAGTTGAAGTTTTGAAGAATGACAAACGAACTCAGTGAAGGACCAGGTTCATCTAAGGAGACACAGTTGTTATGGCCCATACACATGAGATGCACGTGAAGAAGATAAGTCCTTGAGATCAAGCAGCAATATCTTGATGAATATCTTCTGAACTGATCGAAAAGATTGCATATAGGATAAGGAGTTGAAGTCTCCTTATGAAAAGAGAATTACATCCGGATCAAGAATATGGATTAGGAGTTAGAGTTGTTCTTGGACTCGAATTGTCAAAGGATCCACAATTCGAGTTCTTATCAAACTCTGATTACTAACTTTATAAATATAACGATTGTTCTCTTTTACAGGTGAATGCACATAAGCAGAAGTTAAGCATATTTGAGAGCAAAAAGATCAAGTCTGATTTGCAAGCAACATATGCGAGATACAAGTGTGCACGTCTGAAGCTACATGAACTAAGATAGAAGAACCAGTTTCATCATTGTGTTTATTCTAAGTCTATTTCAATTGTAGTAGGTTTTCATATTGTACCTTTCAGCTTTCTTAGAAGCAATTGTATTAGGTACTCTGAGTATTCAAGTTAGAGTTAACTTGAAAGTATCGCAACAGTTGAGGTTGTGTGCTACACTGGGATTAGAGTTAATCCTTAGGTTTACAAAGAGTTTTGTAAATGCAGTTTTTGGCTCAGTGATTTTAGTGGAGTTTGGGAAAATCCTACTGAGTAGTAGGTCGTGGTTTTTTCATCTTTTGAGCCAGGTGTTTTCCACGTAAAAATCTCTGTGCACTTTACTTTCAGTATTTATTATTCCGCAAACTGCTGTAGTTAGAACACTTAGAAGAACCAGGTTCTTCTAACGTGAAAATTATGTACCACACAAATCACCCCCCTCTTGTGTGGTATTGACGTTTATAATATCAATTGGTATCAGAGCGGGTTATCCTTGAAGAGGCTAACACCTTAGGAGAAGATCAAAAATGAGCGCACCACCTGAGAACTGGGAAGGGCAATCCACAGCCATACCTCCACTTTTCAATGGTTTGTATTACTCTTGGTGGAAGAACAGAATGAGAGATCATATCATAGGGGAAGACTATGAACTTTGGGATATAATTACTGATGGTCCCCTAGCTACCACTAAGAAGAATGCAGAAGGAATTGATGTGCCAAAAACAAGGGCTGATTGTACTGCTGAGGATCTGAAGAAATGGGAGAAAAATGCTAAAGCCAAGAAGTGGCTAGTGTGTGGTCCAGGACCAGATGAGTACATCAGGATTAAAAGTGTACAACTGCTAAGGAAATATGGGACACTCTACAAGTGGCTCATGAAGGAACACCTCAAGTGAAAAGGTCAAGAGGAACTCTTCTGTATTCTCAATATGAGAATTTCACTATGAAGGAAGGAGAAACTATCCAGGAGATATATACTAGATTCACTACTCTGACTAATGAGCTTAAATCTCTTGGAAGGACCATCCTTGAAGAAGACAAGGTTGAAAAGATTCTGACAAGAGTTCTGCCAGTCATTTGGGAAAGCAAGATCACTGCCATTCAGGAATCCAAGAATATTGCTACCCTTAGGCTGGATGAACTAATTGGGAACTTAACTGCCTATGAAATGAGGAGACAAACAATGAAGATGGATACCCCCAAAAAGGAGAGAAGTTTAGCTCTCAGAATCACTGAAGGTGCAGATTTGGAAGATGATGAAGCAGCCATGATCACTAGGGATTTCAAGAAGTATCTGATGAGAGGAAAGGGTGCTTCAAGAAGTACAAACTTCAACAAAACAAGAGCTCCGGAGAAACAGATCAATGAAGGCTGCTACAAGTGTGGTAAGACTGATCACATGATCAAAAACTGTCCTCAATGGGAGATTGAGTGGAAGAAAGAAAGAGCTGAAAGAAGAAATAGGAAGAAGGAACAGGTTCAACCAAAAAGAAAGAAAGGTTCAACTAAGGCTATGGTTGCTGCTTGGGGAGAAACATCAGATGAGGACTCTGAAGATGAAGCTGAGGAGGATCAAGCTCTAATGGCCATTGGAGAATCAGAGGATGAACAAGAGGTAAGTATTCTTCATCTCAAAGACAAGATCAAATTCTTGTCTAAAGAAAGGCTAGCTGAACTCTTAATAGACTTCATTGATGAGTTTGAGATAATTAATAATGAAAAGGAAGTTCTGTCTAGGGAATGTGTGATTTTAAAAGCTAAATGTAAAAGTCTAGAGTCTAGGGCAAATGAGAGTGATAACAAAAATGCTGAGTTGAAGAACCAGGTTCTTGAACTTGACAACAGTGTCCTAGAACTTAGATCTGAAAATCTGAAACTGAAATTAGGAACAGGAAAGAAGATAGCTGATCACACATATCTTACTCTAGAAGAAAATTTAGGAAAAATGAAGGATGAATTATATAAGAAAGATGAATTCATCAAAATCTTAAAAGAAGATCTAGGAAGGGTAAAACATGAACTAGACAGAACTTGCAAGTGGAACAAAGCATCTGATGCTCTCTCTTGGTTGCAAGAGCATCATAGCAGTAACAAAAGAGGACTTGGCTATGGAACTCAAGCTCCTAAATGGGATCCAAAAAGCAAGTACCTCACTCTTCCTGAAAATAAAATCTGCACACACTGTGGCAAGACTGGCCATTACAAATATGAATGCAATGAAAAAGAGAAGGCCAGTCAAAGGAACAAGTCTTTTGTTAAAGAAAAGAATAAATTGCCTGAATGGGCAAGAAGGAATTTAATTCATCCTTTTGCCTATAGAAAGGGACCCAAACTAGTTTGGGTTCCTAAGACTAACCCCTGATTTCATTTTGTAGGTTCAAGTGAAAGGGAGGAGCCAAATATGGTATATGGATAGTGGCTGCTCAAAACACATGACTGGGGACAAGGACCAGTTCCTTTCACTTGAGGACTTAAAAGGAGGTAATGTCTCCTTTGGTAATGGAAAGAAAGGTGAGATCATTGGGGTTGGTAAGGTAGGCAAGACTGATTCTCATTCCATAGAGAATGTCTACCTGATAGATGGTTTGAAATATAGCCTAATAAGTGTGTCACAACTGTGTGACAGAGGTAACCTTGTAGCTTTTACCTCCACCAAGTGCTTTGTGATTAATCTCATCACTGACAAAATTGTTTTGCAGGGAAAAAGAGTTAACAATATTTACATTGTAGATTTGTCAACTCTTTCAGAAAATGAACTCACATGCTTAAGCGTGTTGGTTAATGATCCCCTCCTATGGCACAAAAGACTTGGTCATGCTAGTCTGAATCAGCTAAACAAATTAGTCTCCAAGGACTTGGTTGTAGGTTTACCTAACATCAAGTTCAAGGAAGACAAAGTCTGTGAGGCATGTGCAAGGGGAAGCAGGTAAGGACATCCTTTAAAACCAAGAAAATAGTGAGTACGTCCAAGACGTTGAAACTGGTTCATATGGATCTATGTGGTCCAATGAGAACCATGAGCAGAGGTGGAAAGAAATATGTAATGGTGCTAGTTGATGATTATTCCAGATTCACCTGGGTTTTATTTCTAACCTCTAAAGATGAAGCATTTGACATGTTCTT